GGCTTCCTGGGCTGTTGTGAATATTTGTCAATATCTACTCTTTTAATCAGAGGAGGCACACCGGGTATTTGTTCTATGCGATCATTCTACTCCTTGAGCTACTTCTTCAAAGTTAGTACTAAACTTTGTAAATCAGAATTATTTGGGGTACCTGACCTTCCATCGCGAGATTCGCTGGGAGTTCCTCCGCTACCCGAATTAGCAAGTTCCGAGCGTGGGCTTTCTATGGTTGCAGTGTTGTTTGGAGGTGGAGTGGGTGGCACAGTTGGAAATCTACTGACGAAAGCTTGAAGGCATTGTTGACGTGTTCTGCAATTAGTTGTTTTAATGCGTCCTCGGAAGTTTGTCTGTCCCCTTGTTGATTATTCGTATGTGATGTTGATCTTTGAGGTGACTCTTCAATCGCATATTGGAATCGGAGGCTCGATTTTCCCACTTCTACTGGTATTAGGGCTTCGGCACCATAGACCAATAAAAACGGGGTGGCCCCGGTACTAGACTTCGAGGTCGTACAGTATGTCCACAGAAATTCGAGCAAGATTTTCTTCCATTTTCCTTTGGCATCGGTCAACCTCTTTTTCAGGTTTTGGAGTATGGCCTTGTTCGTAGATTCTGCATGTCCATTTCCACTCGGGTGGTAATGTGTTGATAGTATCTTCTGAATCTTGTGTTCTTCGAAGAACTCATTTACCTTGCTGTCGATGAATTGTTTCCATTATTGTTTAACCAAAAATATATCTTTCGGTCAAAGACTAATTTTGGAAAAAAACAGGCTTCTGATAACTAAGTTTTGCTTCACTTTCTCAACGGTATCAAAGGAAAATAATAAAAATAAATAAGGAAGTAATAGATTGCATAATAAAAGCAGAGAATTTTGAGAAAGAAGAAAAGTAAAGTGTATATTTCAATATTATCTCATATGTGTCTTTACAATTAAAATTTTGTGCTCTTATATATGAATGTACAATAATAATGGTTTTTCCCCATAATTTGTGCTAATTATGGGCATCAATGATATTGATTGCCCTCTATTTTGGATTCTCATAACCAATGCATTTATTACTATGAATGTCTTATATCTGTTATGATTCCCCTTCCTTATTTCTTTCCGGTCCATGCATCTTTCCTTCTTTTGTATTATTTATTCATTCTTTGTCAGTTGTTAGGCCCGGTACTGTCTCGTGGGTGTTTCTTCCCGTGCCTTTTCTTACTCTATCAAATAAGACTGCCATGTGCTGCTATGTTATTGCTTTTACGTATTATGCCATGTCGGCAGTCTAACATTCCACGTGTAGCTCTTTTTCACCACCAATATACTTATCGCAAATAATTTCGGACGGTGTGCCAAATCGGCATATTATATGGTCATAGATGAAGTCAATGACTTCTTTTTCCTAGATTTCTCGAACGCTTGAGCTTCGACCTATTTGAAAAAATAATCGGTCATGAATAGTATGAATTGAGTCTTACTGGGTGCCCACGACAGAGGACCGACGATATCCATTTTTCATTTCATAAATGGCCATAGGGACAAGACTGTCTAGAGTAGCTCTCTCGATTGATGGATCATCGGTGCATGTCTCAGGCAATCGTCGTACTTTCGTACAAATTCCTTCGAGTCCTTCTCTATTTCGGTCCAGTAATAGTTGATCCTGATTAATTTCTAAACCAAAGATTCTTCCCCCAAATGGTTCCTGCAAGTGCCTTCGTGAACTTCTCTCAAGGCATATTCAGTATTTCCCAGCCCCAAGCATATGGCTAGCGGGCCGTCAAATGTTCTTCTGAACTAAGTCCCTTCGGCCAAGCCAAATCTGGCAGACTTCGTACATAGAGCTCTCGATTCTTTGGGGTCCGAGGATAATTTTCCAGTCTTCAAGTAATCTATGTAATTGTTCCTCCAATCTCATAAACTTGTTGAGTTTACTTCGGCGCGGCCTTCTTCTTCGAACCCGAGTTTTAACTCTTGTACATCAATTACTGATACGCTACCGATATCGGGCCAGATCCGCGCCATGATATCCGGTTGGTGCGGATATCACGGTCCTCTGTTAGTCGTATGCAACGTTTGTAGTGCTTTCCGAGGTCTTGGAGCTCGTATCGGGTTTGGGGTGTTGTCTTGTCGGGCCCGGTGGCGAGCACTCCATTCGGGCCTTAGTACGAGAAGTTCCTAGCTTTGATTTCGATCTCATGTAGTTATGTCCTTGCTTCGTTTGACCCACCCAAAAATCGGGGTGCTCATTAGCCCCAGTTTTACCCCTGTATAATTACAAAATTACCTATTAAATAATCTGTGATTAAATCTACATATTGGTGACAACTGAAATTTGGTCATGAAATGATTATGGAAAGATCATCACGCTTATAATGGTACTACGGGTATATTGCGAAAGACTGAATAAATTTATCTCGTATTTGGTTCGTGTAGAAGTTAAATAATTTCCTTATCACATTGAGTGTTTACCTTTCTTTACGATACGAGAATATAATACAACGAGGTTTACAGTATATTAGTATCTCATTAAGGATGCAAACAAATAGTAAACGGATCAGTAGGAACTACCCAACTCATCTCTCCTTGTTTTGCACCAAATCATGAAGAACCTTTTGTATAAAAATCTATTTAGGTTGGCTAATACATAATTAAATTAAGAAGGGTTATTTAACCCGTTCATTATATTTATAATCTTACCGATGTCGGTCTCTATTGTTTTATTATTAGCACTGGAACTAGTTCTGGTGAAGTCCATTTAAACTATAAAAAAAATTGACCCTGGCTTAATTATTTGTTCTTTTAACTAAAAATAAAAAGGAAATGTTATTTTCAGCTTTCTCTTTCTCGACGAGTAGTTTTCTTTATGTATCCCCAACATTTATTACTCACTAATCTGTGTTTTCAAGGGAATAAGATACAAGTTTAGGTAAATAAAAAACAAAAAATTTCTGACCAATGAGATTTAATTTTCTGCATGTGGTATGTATAAAAAGATTATGAACTAATACCAATAAAATTCAGCCACTTCTATATGATTTTGAGAAGAAAGGGATTTACAACATATGGATTTGATATGCATTTCAGGTTTGATTATTTTCCAGGGCTGAATAACAAACTTGGTTGACATGAAAGCGATTGGTTTTTAATATTATATAAGCCTTTTTTAGGTTTTATATTTTTTCAACAGGGGTTAGTATTGAAATATGGACTTTAGTATCTTAATATTTGTAATAATGAAAGCCCTTTGATATTTTTCAATATTTCAACCATTTATATGCATTATTAATCAGAACCTGCCAAGGCCTTTAATATTTGTCATAGTTTGGAATAGATTAATCTGGTTTTTTTCTCTGTTGTTTTCTAGAACATAGAGGTATTGACAAACTTTTGTCGTTTGTTCACCTCAACAAGTAATGCATTAACTCTAGTATTATAAATGATTTCAATTTTTCTCCAATAAGGATATTGGCTAGGATATTTTAGGTCAGCAAGAGCAACAAAAATATTTCTTTTTTCATTAGTTAGACTTTTCTAGTTGAGGAGGAACTTCATTGGATTATCAAAATAATTTAGAAAAGATTAGGTTTTAATGCACTGGTTGAGATTTTCTCAACGTTGTGAACCAATTAAGAAGAAAAAATAGAATAGAAGGAAGTACGTAGTTGGAAGGATTTCCACACCAAGAATTCCTAAAAAAATTGCTCTACTAACTATTTGAGGTAAACCTATAAACAAGATCTAAAAAATTTTCATCGACAACACTAAGATTGTCCCATAATAATTATTGGATGGATCCTAAATTTTGTTCTTATCATCTATGCAATTGAACTTCTTCAAAATATGTTGAACTTTAACATATAAACGATTGAAGCACAGTCTAATTCATGCAAATTATGAAATATATTAAGCTCCTTAATTTTGTGATTAGAAGGTTGTAAAACATGCTTGTCTTACTCTGATGCAGGCTGCTCTACTTGACAGTGACAGGGAGGAAACATTAATGTTACTTGAGGATTCTTAGTGGGCGTCTCGACATAAAAATTGTGAAATTCTGGAAAAAAAGTGAATCTTTTTAAATGAAAATAGTATTTGGAAATTAGAGTTGTTTTTGGACATGAATATAATTTGGAGCTGTTTTTGAATTTTTATAAGTGGTTTGAAGTGAAAATTTTGAAAAACAACTTTTTGGTGTTTTTCAAATTTTCGAAAAATTCCAAAATTGATCTTCAAGTGAAATTTGAAATTTTCATGGCCAAACACTAATTCCGAAAAACATTATTTAAATAATAATAATAATAATAATAATAATAATAATAATAATAATAATAATAATAATAATAATAATAATAATAATAATAATAATAATAATAATAATAATAACGGGCCCTTTATTGATTTCATTGAAAAGTTATCTCAACAAGTAATGAAAGGAAGAAGTTAATGAAGTAAATTAAAGCAACCTAGTGATCATTAAGGACAATACCCCTTTTGTCTTTCTAAAAATCTTTTTCCACCACCTCAAATTTTTCGGGGATAAATAGTCTAATGCAAATTATAACATGATGAGGGTGATTCAACAATGAGAGTAATAGTTTCAAAGAATCTAAGTGAAGACAATATACAAATATTTGATTCTTGAAAAGGCTATAGAAACAGTTAGTGGTGTCTGTCAATTAGTAGGTTTAAGCATGATAAATGACACAAGATATGTATAGTACTATAGGTGCAAGACTCATTTGTCTCTAGTGGTTCTTGTTAGTACAAAAATTCTTTGAGATGGACAACAATTCAATTGATTTTATATCTCTACGAGCCAATTAGATGATACTTTATTTCCTGTTTCACTTTCACTTTCCTATATTTGAGGAATTATCTCATGATATGGGAGGACAAATAGCTCCTTTTTCACTTATTCGTTAAGTATATTAATTTTTTTATTAATTGTTTTGGTGTCAACTAATCCTCCCATTAAATACCAGGTCGGCTAACCTCAACATCAAGTCTTCCACTGTCTCCTCTTTCTCTTAGAGACAACACAAAAAAATCATTTATCTTTTGCTTTCACTACATATTTGTAATACAAAAATGGGGTGCAAATTAGTAGACAAGACAAAGCAAAAGCACAAGAAGGGATTATGGTCGCCTGATGAAGATGACAAGCTCAAAAACTATATCATTAAGCATGGTCATGGCTGCTGGAGCTCTGTCCCCATTAATGCCGGTTAGTTAAATTCACAATATTCTTCATCTTCAAATAATTTTCAGAACATGCAACACATTAATTTGTTGCTAATTAACTGCGGCCAATAGTATATATATTGTTTCCTTCATATCTCTTCTTCAAGTGTAATTTTATACTTGGACCGTTCGACGCTACTCTCTAGTATAGAAATTTTCCGACGTAGATTTCTGGTGTCCTTAATTTAAGGTGCATGAAAATGTAAAAGAATGAAAAAGGATTGTTGTATCACATCCTTGTCAATGACAGCAATATCATGTTTTTTGAGGTTTGGAGATATGAGCATCACCATGATTGTTAACTCCTCTTCTTTTTTCTTTTTCTGGCAAAGTACAAAAAGATCGGTCGGTCGAAGTTAATTGCATTTGCTAATTAAAAAGTATATAAAATATGTATATTATATGTATATAATAAATATTTATACAAAAAATATACATTTTGTCGTCTATTATTTAAGAGAGGCTAAAAATATGCATTTCTCTTCTTCTTTTTGGTGTCTATTTTTAATATTTCACGAATGACTTCATTCCAGCTGTGATCAAATTAGCCAAGACCATGTCTAGTTGACGAGTGTATTCGAAAAAACAATAGAAAAGTTTTTTTTGTTGATGAGTAAAAGTTTGAAAGTATATAGTTTTTTTTTTT